CAAGCTGTGGAGACCTCCCCCAGACAGGAATAGGGAGCTGCTAGCCACAGAGCACAGAATCCAGGCCTGGGGGAGACCCTGCCTCTGTGAGGTCACCTGTAGGAGGCAGGTGTGCTGGAGGACGTTTAACACCTGCTCCTGGGAGAGCAGGGAGCATTGGTGGCCTGGCAGTAAGGAGCTGTGCTTCCAATCACAAGTACATGGTTCGAACCTACCACCCGCTCTACAGGAGAAAGATGCCCGGTTCCCTCTCGTGTGGTTTACCGCCTCTGCAGCCCCACTGGAGGGTCAGCTAGGGGTCAGCTCCAGCTCAACAGTGCACGGTGTCAGCACAACCCAGAGGAGAGGGGGCTAATATGTGCGGCACTGACCAGTCCTCAGGGGTCTGTACCCCAGCATGGCTTATTTCACTGAGAATGTGGGGGAAGAGACCCCCCACACCCACCACCTACACTGCAGCCACCGCAAACCCTTTCCAGGTAGATGGCACCTGCTGTCAACGTGCGCCAGCTCCGTCTCAGAACTGAGACCTGCTTCGGAGGGCTTTCTTGGTGTCATCTTGAAGGCTGAAGGGTGCCAGGTCTTTGTTCCACAGCACCTCTGGGTGAGCTTGAACTGCCGACCTTTAGGTTACCATCCAGAAGCGGCTGTGTGCGACTCCCAGGGACCCACTGCCAACGTGTATTGATGACAGTTAGCTGTTGGGTCTGCTCGCCCCGCCCAGCCTGCTAACTGCAGGGTTTGTGCTCCGTTTCACTAGCTGTGAAATGAGGGACGTGGCAGTCCCCGCCTGGCTGGGCTGGAGTGGCGTTAGGAGGACGTCCCGTGGGCTCTGAGGCCTGTGTTCCCTCTGCTGTGTGTGCTCTGAAAGGGGCCCTGAGCACCGTGGCTGCAGGGCTGGGGTGCTCAACAGGAAGTTGATTTGAACCCACTCCATGCTCCAAGGAGGGGCGCTGGTGGCCTAGTGGTAAGGAAATGTGCTGTCAACTCAAAGGCACACGATTCGAATCCACCAACTGCACCGTGGGAGAAAGATGGACAGTCCATTCCCATGTGATTTACTGCTTCTGAACACAACTGGAGGGTCAGCTGTGAGGGCCCAGACTCGATGGCACAACCACAGGAGCAAGAGACGCTTCGAGGGACGAGGACGAGCTGTCTGCGTCCATCAGGGTCACGGCCGCGGAGGCCCTGTGGGGCTGTCCCACCCAAAACTGGAATTGACTTGAGGGCAGTACGTTTGGGGTGTGTTCCTAAAGCCCCACGTCTCACAGCTGCCTCGCTGCCCACTGCAGATCCTCTCAGGTTCTCAGATTTCTTACCGCCCCTCCCCAAGCCCACTGCCTGGCACCTCATTTCATGCCACAGGCACCCCAGTGTTTACCTGGGAGCTGAGCAGTCCTCAGTACCCCAGGGGGAGGGCATGTGTGCCCACGGGAGAGCTGGGGTCAGCGGAGAAGAAAGTGAGGGAAGAGGAGCCTGCCTTTCCTGGGGCCCCGGAGGGGGGCAGAGGGGCGCCAAAGATGGTGTAATTTGGAGAAGCGCTAATCAAATATTTATCAAGTAATTGATCTGAGTGCGGAGGGGCTGACAGCGCTCCTGCCTGCCCTGCTTCTCCGCACAGTCCCCCACCTGCCCTGTGTCTCCACACCGCCCCCCACCACATCTCCACACTGTCCCCCGCATCTCCATACTGTCCCCCAAGCCCACACTGAAGCCCCTTGCTTTGCCTCCACCCCTCCTCGCTCTGCGTCCTGAGTGCTCCCACCTCCACTTCTCCCTCCTCTTCCTCCTCCCCACTTCAAGCCCCTCCCACTCTCACTGGAGCTGGGCTGGACCCTCAACCCCACACCTGCTGATGATGGACAGGGGTTTCTGGGGTGGCGTGGAACAAGGTGGGGAGGGTGTCCAGGTGATGTACTCGTGTGTGATTATCCAGTGTGGAGTGGATGTTTGTGTTTCTGAGCGTGTTACGACTGTGTGTGTTAATTTGTGTGTAGGTGTGTGTCTTTGTGAGTCTGTGAATGAATGTATCGGTGTATGTCTTTGCACACACACATGCGTCTGTGTGTATGTGAGTCTATATGTGAATGTGTGTCTGTGCACATGTGTGAATGTGTACATGTGTGATTATGTAGCTGAGTGGGTGTGCATGAGTGTGAGTCTGTAAAGGTATGTGAACATGTGTGTGTGTGTGTGTGTTCTCACCCACAGGCCTTCCTCACCCTCCTGTGGCCTGAAGTCCGAGTGCAGCCCCGTGTTAGCCTGGAAGAGACCAGGGCTTTGTGGAGGAGAAGGGTTCTGCCCCGGGGTACCTGGCTCATGCTGTTGGGGTGTTGGGGGTCCCCCTCTGTGTCCATTCATGATCTACCCTGCTCACCCATCAATAAGGAAATGCCCCCCACGTGTGTTGTGAGCTCTGTCCACTGCTGCTGAGGCCCTTCCACTGGACACAGGGTGAGGGGGTCCCTGCTCTTTCTGGTGAGGAAAGGGCACCCCTTGAATGCAAACAAGCAGCCTGCCCCAGATCATGCAGGGAAGGACAGATGGACAGGCCCAGAGCCCCTGCCCTCTGCCCTCCAACTCCAACTCCTCCTGGGGCAGGACTTTCCCCTGAGCTGCCTGCTGTAACCCGGTCAGTGGTTCTCAGAATCACCCCAAAAACCATTACCACTGAATCAGTGCTGGCTGTGGTGGCCACGCGTGTCTAAGCAGACTGTGGGCATGGGGTCCTCCCTGGCTCGTTTCTGGGGTGTAGTTCACCAAGCCTTTCTTCTGAGGCATCTCTGGATATACGGGTGTCCCCAAACCCACAGCCATGCTATAGTTAGCCTCTTTCACCCCAGGTCACCCCAGGGGCTGCTTCTGGCTTGAGCTGCTGCTCTCTCATGCCCAGAGCTAGGTCCCAGGGGGTGCAGATGCTGTGGTTTGGGGTGTCACTCTGCGCACCGCTGTCCTGGCGCACTGAGAGACCATACAGGCCCGGGAGTCACTGCAGTCAGGTGCCAGGACATGCTTCTCCTGACTGGATGGATTTTGGAGGCAGCGTCCGTAAGCAGAAGCAAAGCCGAGCTGGCCTGTGCCCCGGCCGCCAGCACCTCCCACTGCTGGCCCTCGCTGGAGGCCATGTTGCATTTTCTGTTTGTTTTGGTTCGGTGTCAGGGTGAGGCTCTGCCCGGTCACCTGGCTGGGTCCACCCTGCAGGAAGCCGCTCTGTTATCCCAGGCTCGCCAACATCAGACTCACCACGACCCTGTAGAGCAGACGGGATCGAGCTGACCTGAGGGTTTCCTACACTGTGGGCTCCCAGGGTCAGATGGCCACATCTGTCCCCCAAGGAAGGAGTGGCTGGAACCATGCACTTCACCCCTGCACCACCAGGGCTCCTTCCAATAAGAGTCTCATGGCCATTGCTGATGAGTCCAGCCACAGTGACCTTGTAGGGTACAAACGGTTCTGTGGGGTCTCCAGGGTGCACATCTTTATGGGGGCAAATGGTCACCCCTTTCTCTCGCAGAGAAACTGGTCTCTTGAACAACTGACCTTTTGCTCAGCACCTGAGCACTTAACCACTGTACCACCAGATGAGAAAACTGGTTTAAAACTTTAAGCAAGGCAGGTGGCGAGTGAGTGTGGTTGTGAAGGGCTGCGGGGGTGGCGGGGAAGGTGTCTCGATACTGATGCGGGCTCTGCTCTGCGTCCCGACTGTAGCCGTGTCAGCATCCCGGTGTGACTGCCGACGGTTTGGTAAGATGTTACCTCTGTGGGGCAGAGCTAAACGATCCCATCTTCTTTCTGCTCTTAAATGCAGAGTCTTTTAGGACAGAAGGCTTTTTTTAAAAAAAATTTTCTTTTTGGGAGGTCTCGAGAAGCTGTCTGCTGGGCACAGAGTTGAACTTGGGGTGATGGAAATGTTTGGGGTTCGACAGTTGGCGTCACCTTTCCAGCCGCGTTCTCGGAGCTGCTGAACTGAAGACTGAGTGTGTGTGAAGTTCAGAAGAACAGTTTTTAACTTGTATTGCAGTTGGTGTGAATGTTTGGGGGTTTTTTAATTTTTTTTAAATTTATTTTATTTCATTATTTTTTGTGTGTACTGTCAAATCGGATCTGACTAGTACAGGAGGAGATTGTCCCTCCTTCTCCAGCAGAGCATCTGGTGGATTTGAACCGTGTATCTCTGAGATTGCAGTTGCAGCTTCTTGCCGCTAGGCCACCAGAGCTCGCCAAGGTGTGAATGTTTGTAAGGACAACACGCATGTCCTCTGGTGGCACTGGTGACCGTCCCCTTGGCTCAGTAGCGCACCCCCCACCTCCTCCTGGGTCCCCACTTCTGCACATCCTTCCTACCTGCACCCTCTTGCCTTCTGAGCTTTGTTTTCAGGCAGAGGCCACCCTTTCAATATCGTGTGGTTTGTGGCTGATTTCTTCTAACAAGTGCTTGTCTCTTGACGTTACTGTCCAGCTGTGGGCCTGTCTGGCTTTGGCCATAGGGAGTGAGTTCAGTGCCAGAGGTGATTGGTGTCTAAGGGCATCTCAGACTTGGGGGTCCATAAGAAGCTATCAAACTTTTAAGTCTGGTGTTTTTTATTATCTTGAGTTCTGTGTCACGTTTTTCTGTGTCCAGGACCTTCTGGCATGGTCCCTCCTGAAGCAGCTGGTGGGCTGGGAGGGCACCATTTAGTTTTTCTGGTCTCAGGGTTGTGGAGAACAGTAAGTTTTCTTGAAACCACTTTGCATTATATACGCAAGGTCTGAGAATTGGTCTTCTTCCTGGACCTTGAGTTGTGCGGGGCTCCCCAGTACCTCCTCCAGCTCCATTTGCCCCACAGTGGAGGCCTCCCCACATTAAGGTAAGGTCCTACCTCCGTCAGCTGGAGCTTCGAGGAGAACCCTGTCACTTGAGATGATGACATCCATGTCCGAGTCAAGACTGGATGTTAATCAGGGCTCTCTCTCTCTCTCCGCAGGGCAATCAGGACGCCACGGCTCCCCCTGAAGCGATGGCCCAGCCCTACCCCCCAGCCCAGTACCCCCCTCCACCACAGAATGGCATCCCCGCCGAGTACGCCCCACCCCCGCCACACCCCGCACAGGACTACTCGGGCCAGACCCCGGTGCCCCCTGAGCACGGCATGGCCTTGTTCACGCCAGCACAGAGCCACCCAGAGCAGCCAGGCACCGACGCCAGCACGCAGGCCATCGCAGGGACACAAACCGTGCCGGTAAGGGCGCCGCGGCCCAGCCAGCCAGGCGCCGGAGGTGGGGGGCCGGACGCTGCTGGGACGTTGTGCCTGGAGGGCTGGTCCACACTGGTCCTCTCCTCCGAATGGTGTGTCCACCCCTGCCTTTCAGCTCCTCCTTATCCAGGCCCAGAATGGTCGAGGGAGGCTGGGCACAGCGAGCTGGGTGGTGACCCCTGCCCCGAGACGCTGTCACCCACTGCCCCCACCTCCTTGAGAGGTGAGAGAGGTCAGATGCGGTGGAATCAGCTGTGACTCCCAGCAGCTGCGTCTCCCAGAACACGGCCCACCTGCTCCTGCTCCAGCTTCACGGCCTCTGATGTGCTTAAGCCTCTGGTTGAACTGTGTCCGGCCGCCTTCCTGAGGGGCTTCATTGCCCTCCGCTTTGCAGAGGACGGTGTCCTTCCCCAGGACCCGGCCTCTCCCAATAAGATGCCCCAAGTCCACGGGACAGAGTCCACCGTCCCTGACTGTTAGCATCCTGGCTGCACTTCTTAGTTTTGTTTGTCCTGCCGGTCACGGTGTATTTCATTTCATTCACCAGCATCACAATTCAAAGGCATCGAGTCCACATCCCCTCATGTGGGAGTGAGGAGTGGCCTTCAGCTGCCCCCTGGTGACCTGTTAGTGGAGAAAGGGACCCAGCCACCAGGACCTGGTGTCCGGGGCAAGCCGGAGGGCTGGTGAGAGGAGACTGACCAGCCCGAAAGCCTCTCCGGTTGCAAGCCTCCTATCATTTCTAATCACTTGTAATCTACCTGCTTGGCTGCCCTCCAATCAGATAGCTTCAATTATGTGGTTGTAATGTAGCTCAGGGAAAGTGCTGAGCCCAGATTCCCCCACATCTCCTGACAGCGGAGAGAGCTCTCCTGAGGATGGATGGACAGACAGACAGGGTGGGTTCTCAGGAAGGCCCCACCCGGGGCCCCACTGCCAGCCCAGCCCCACCTCACCCCCCAGATCTCAGCTGCACCACCTCATCCCCCCACCTCCCCTCCTCTCTGCACATCTCTGCCTCCCCCTCCCTGCTGGCTCTGTCCCAGAAGCTGGCTGCACCGCTGGCAGGCGCTGGGCAGGAGGCCAGCTCGCTCTGCACTGCCCAGGCGTGGCACCACCCTGGCGGCTCCTGGGACTCAGTGTCATTCTCTCACGCAGCATCCCCATGTCATGCCAGGCTGGCCTGAGGCTTCACAGAGCTCCCACCCAGCCCTTCCTCTTGTCCAGAGCCCTGTCCCCAAGCCTGGTGCTGGGACTCTTGCATCCCGTCCCTAAGGAAGCGGGATGCCCGTTGACACCGTGGGGTCCCCACAGGAGAAGGCAAGGCCCACGGGATCCTACAGGGGAGTGGGTCACACTGCCTGGAAGACAGCTCCCCATCCTGGTTCATCAGAGCCGGGGCTGGTTGCTGGGTGTTTAGAAAATAAAGACACCCTGAAACCCACAGCGTCCCTTTTCAGCAGGAAGTAGCTAAGAGAATACGCCATCCCCTTTTCCTTATGACTCAGGGGGAAGTCTCTCTCAGGGAGGAGTGATAGGGAATGGCAAAGGACACACTGACAAAGGAGATTAATCAGAACTGGCTTTGACAAGCACTGTGGCAATTGGACAATTAAAACAGACATGGGGGGAAAGAAGAACGAACTGGGGAGGAGGGTGGAGAAAACAGTGCAACAATGAATGAATGAAAACCCAAAATCTCTGTAAATGTTCATTAAAACTAAAAAAATTTAATAATGAAAAATTTAAAAAAAAAGAAAATAAAGAGGTGACAGGAGCTGCGTGGCCACGTGGTGGCAGACAGCCTCTTCTTCTGATGGAGCGAGTGGCCAGAGGCTCTGTCACACCTCTGAGCACCTCCTAACGGTCAGACGAGGGGCCTCCCGTGGGGCCACAGGGGGACCTGTTCTGAGAAGAAGCAGGAATGATGGTGTGATCCGACTGGCACATGACACCATGTGGAGACAGACAGTGATGAACAGAAGGACAGAAACACATCTGGAGGCCTTCTAGACCCGGTGAGGCCACCGGCGCCGCCACGCTGGGACAAACCGCATCTTCCTCCACTGGGCAGGTGGCCCCCAGCACCCCTGGGTCCTCAGAGCTGAGCTGCTCAGGGGAGGCCGGTGCTGCCCTCTGGTGGCTGCCGTTCCCACATAGCAAGGACATCGGCCGCACACGTGAGTGTCCAGGCCTCGGACAGGATCCAGGACGGAGCCACCGCGGCTGAGGAAGCTGATACTGTGACCGAGAGGCCAAGCGCCGTCGTGAGGCCCAGGTCAAAGGCTGGAGTGTCTACAGGGAGGAGGCCCGCGGCCTGGGGACAGAATGGTCTTGCACTCCTCTTCTGGCCGTTCCCAAGTTTTAAGGAGGGGACAGCGTGGTCTGCAGCCCTTCTCCCCAGGACACCCAGGAGGGTTCTGACCCAGGACCAGAGAGAGGCTGCAAATGGAGGCGCTTGGAGGAAGACGCGAAGACAGGAGCTGTGGGCAAGGGGCCGGCTGCCCTTGGAGACCTTCGACTCTGACCCTGGAGGGCTGTCCACCACAGAGGCCCAGGCCCCATCCGGCTGAGATCCCACCTGAAGATGGGCTGGCACCATCTCTGCAAGGACCTGCCCAGCCTATGAGCGCCTCCTCACGGCCGACTCCATGCAGCCTGCTGTGAAGATTAGGGACCGGACGGGGCAGCAGGCCACTTGACCCGGGGCCCATGTCCAGCTCACTTGCTGGCTCAGCACATGGTGAAGTCTGAGTGCTGCTCTGTTTGGGCCCCTGGACCCTGCCCTCCCTCCAGGGACCCCACTGCAAGCCAAGTCTGGGTGTCGGCCCCCTGAGGACCTGGGATACTGCTCTCTGACCAAAGTCCTGCCTATAACCCTTCAGTGTCCACTCCACTCAGGCTATCCAAGTCATGGGACCATCAGCAGTGCTGTCCTGTCAGAGACCCCACTCCATCACCCTGCAGGCCTCTCAGCCCAACCCCCTGTGGCCAGCAACCACTGCCTTTGCCAGACCCACCAGGAGCTCAAGTCGCTGACAAGAGTGTTCTTGGCTCAAAGAGTTTCAGAGAAGGGACAGAGTGGCCTGTGGCTGGAGTGAGTGAGAGGGCAGAACGATCAGATGCAGACACCACGGAATCTACCGCGGGACCCAGCTGGGACGTGCTGCAGGGACAGAGGCAGAGCCGGCAGGGCAGCTGGGCTCCTGCGCTCTGAGCCCACAGAGGGACCTAACGTGTATCACGTCCCGAGCGCTGTCCAGCTTGTAAAGAAGGCGTTCCTGGTAGAAGATGTGGGCCACACCAGAGACCCTCCCCTGGCAGTCTCCCCACCCGCCATGGGTGATTCTAGGGGAAGACGGCCACAGTGGAGTGGACACAGCCATGTCCAGAGGCTCTTTGTGGGGACCTGATAGAATTCCCTCCTTCTCTTGGATGTGGAAGACCACAGGAAAGGTCTCTGAGAGCCAGGTCATTGTCTGCCACAATGCAGCACTGTCCCTCAGTGGGGGGCCTTGTCCACCAGGACCTAGAACAGTGGTCCCCAGGTCCCAGGGCAGCTCGCCCAGCCCATCTGCATTGGTCTCAGCGAGGCCCAGGGACAGACTGCCAGCTACTCAGAGAAGGGCCACCATCTGGACAGCTCAGGCCGCCAGGGACCAGCTCCAGCCTTGAGTGGTGTGACAGACACAATGACAAAAACAAGGAAAGAATGAAGAAGCTACTGAGATGGGGGGTGTGGAGGGAGCTGCATCTATGACCCAGCGTTGAAGCACTGCGGGCGAAGACGGCTGATTATTGGGAAGGGAGGGGCCCAGGGAATGCCTGGACCGCTGACCACGGGGCAGGACAGCCTAGTCCCCTCCAGCAGCCGGCTCGCTCAGTGGCCTTCCTCAGCGCATCCTATGACCTTACAGAACTCTAACCCGTTTATTGGCCTCTGTCCACAGCTGAGGACACAGGGGGGCTCTCAGCCTGCCGTGTGCATTCCCCCACCAGCCCCGTCACCCCCATGGCTCCCTCTTGAAGGATTTTGGGGTGGGGTACAAGGTGTACAAGGAAGTCTTTAATCCTGGTAACTGCGGACTGCAGCCCTGCTTTTGGGATAGGTCCTGAGCTCCGGCTTCACCACCCACAGCTGGGGGCCCTGCCTCACGCTCCACATGTGGGGGTCTCCTGACCCCTCCTGATGAGCGAGGGTCAGCGCACACAGTCCTGGTCTCCCGGCTGGGCTGACTGACACCCTCTGCTGCTCTGAGGCCAACATTGCATGCCCACTCCCACCTGTATTCCCTAATGAGGCTGATATGTACCAGGACCCCTCTCAGGGGACCCCGTCTAGAGAGCTCACTGTGCCCAGCTCCATCCCTGCACAGATCCCACCAGGGGAGGAGGCCACACTGGGTCTGGTCAAGGGCAGGGGACCGACTGACGGCAGAGTCACCTGGCACGGTGGTCTGGTATGGACTTCTCCCTGTGTGTCACGTGTTGAGTTACCAGTTGAAAGGTAGGCAGTTCGAATCCACCAGCTTCTCCTCTGTAGACAGCCTTGGACTCCTGGTGGACATTCACTGCTGTGGGGAGACCCACACACACTCTGGAAACCTCACCCAAACTCCTGCAAAGTCTACTGGTACCAATTAAAGGGGCTGGTAGAACTGGGCTGCCTAACATTTCCAGGTCTTGCACTCAAGGGGGATTCATCAGAGTCCCACCTCAAGTCTCTCTCTCTCTGGCTCTGGGGGTCAGCTGAGCCCAGTTGGGCCACTGCCAGTGTCAAGCCAGGGTCACAGCCCAGGCCTGTAGGACACACATGGGTGAGCTGTGGACATACACCTTTTGGCGTGTCTGCTAGCCAGCTTGTCGTCCAGAGCAGGGAGAGGCCGCAAGGACTGGGCTGGAGCCCCCCCTGCAGGAGGGGTCTATGAGGTCTGAGTGGTGCCCAGTGGGGCCCAGTGGCGGAGCCTGGGCCTGGACAGTGTCCACCACCCACAGTTGGTTCTAAGGTCTTGATCCGCTTGTCAATCCTAGAAGATTAGGAACTTCTGCCACCAAGCCATCAGGACAGAGAACAAGGGGACTGTGTGGACATGAGGCCCAGTGGCTGGCCCCTCGGAGCTGAGGGGAGGGCCTGATGGCCTCGGGCTGGGCATGTGTCTCAGCCCAGCCTGCACAGAGGGACCCAGGGCCCAGCCAGGACCCGTCTCCTGGGATCCTCAGTGAGTGACAGGAGGGTCCAGTGGTCTGGGGACACCTGGCTTTAGTCCTTCTGGTGGCAAGCATGGGCAGGACCTGGAAAACAGGAAGGGGCGTGGACCCAGGCCCCGACACCTCACAACCTCGGGCCCTCTCCCAGCAGACAGATGAGGCAGCGCAGACGGACAGCCAGACACTGCACCCCAGCGACCCTTCAGAGAAGCAGCAGCCCAAGCGGTTACACGTCTCCAACATCCCCTTCCGGTTCAGGGACCCCGACCTGCGGCAAATGTTCGGGGTGAGTGTGCCTGCCACACCCTGGGGTCCCCATCTTCTTCACAGAGCTTCCTGCTCCTTCTGGGAGGAACAGACCCTCCAGCACCCCCTCCCCAGTCAGGACTCTGGCCTGGACTTGGGGGAGATGGGAGGTAGCTTCAAGCTCAGCGTGGCCTGGTCAGCCCGGCCTCCAGACCCCCGCCCCCCACCTGCTCCCAGCCCTGCCTCCCGCCTGCAGGGGCTTCATGGTCACCACAAACTGAATTACTGCTCTCCTGATCTTCTCTCTGGACAGACTCCAAGCAGCACTGGACCCATCTCAGGGGCGCCCCAGACTTCTAGCCCCACCCCAGCTGCATGCCACCCTCCTGGGTTCCTGGGCCAGGGACTCGGTCCCTCCTGGGTCTTCTGGCTCCATGGTAGGGTGAACCAGCATGAGAGGCAGCAGCAAAGGGGCGCAGGGTGTGGAGGCCCTTGTCCATATTCCCACGGTCCCTAGATTGCTGCTAAATGCAGTGTTTGTGTCAGGATTTTGGGACCTCGCTTCAGTTTCCCTACTGGATTCCAAGTTCTAAAGCAACAAACAGCAGACTGGGTCTCCACCCACATGTCCGGGGTGCCACAGAGTTGGCGGGGGCCCTGACCACTAAGGTCAACATCCGTTTTCCTGTCTGTGTTCACCCACTGGAGGTCTCAGACTCCAAGACCTCTTCGCTGTCCCCAGGTGGGATTTCTCAGTCCAACAGGATGTGGCTCCAGGGTGCCCCCAGATAGTTGAGCCACACACCCACCCAGAGCCTTGCTCCAGGCACGGCCCACCTTCCAGTCCCAGGTGTCCACGATGTGCACCTTAAGAAGCCTGCCCAGGGGACTGATGGTGGTACAGGCACTGAAGGCAGACAGGGGTCATCACCATACCCCTGAGCCACGCTGCCAGGGTCCTGCTGAGCAGCTGGTATCAGGACCCTCTGGTCTCAGCCCCTGACCCTGTCCAGACCCTCAGTAGGCAGGGCTGTCCCACTCCACTCAGTCAGCACAGGGGATATGTGGTCACTGTCCCTGCCGCCCTCAGACACTGCAGAAAGAGGGGCTGACAGTGACAAGGCCTGGAGTCCTCACAGGCTCTGGACAGGATGGGCATCTGCTGTCCGGTGTGGAGGGCGGGGCCAGCGAGGGAGCCGGGCAGGTCCTGCGACCCAAGGGCCCAGGTCACTGTCACCTTCCCAGCTCTGGTCTCAGTGCCCAGGGTACAGGACTCACCCAACTGTCCCTGGCCCTCTCCCCCTGTCCTGCCCCTCCCCTCCTGCTTTCTCCGAGGCCTGGACCCTGGCCTGAGGCCCCGACCTCCAGGACCCCCACATGGCCCTCATCCCCTCCCCACTCATGGTGGACCTGCCTGTGGACCATCCCTCTTCAGTGTGAATGGGGGTTGTCAGGTCTCAGGGTTCCCACCACCTACCTGTAACTGAGTCCTGTCTCCTGTAGATGGGGCTGGGACCAAGAACAAGCCCTCCCCATTTCCAGAGGGCTGAGGTGGGAGGGATGGCCCCCGGATGACACCCTCATCCTACATCAGGACCCTCCGCCCCTGCCACCGTACCTCTGGGTGGGTCAGGAAGGGCGGGTGCCACACTATCCTAAAGCTTATCCCCTCCCACCTGTCTCTGGCCCTCTATTTCCTTCCCTCACCTGCCTCCTTCCCTGTCCCCCATCTCTGGCTCTGCCTCCCACCCTCCCCGCTCCCATCTGCTCCCCCACATCTCCCATTGCCCCCCACACACATCTCCCCCTTATCCACCTCCAACATCTGCTCGCTCCCAACTCCCACTGCCCGCTACCCACCCTCCACCTCCCACCTTCTGCACCCCACCCCGTCCCTCTGTCCTCTTAACACCTGCCTCCTCCCCTCCCACCTCTGCCCTCCCCTACCCCACCTGCCTCCCCCCTCCCCCCGTCTTTCACCCGCCCCCAATCTCTGCCCTCTCTGTCTCTGCAGCAATTCGGAAAAATTTTAGACGTGGAGATCATTTTTAACGAGCGGGGCTCCAAGGTGGGTGCCGCGAGAGGCTGCCCGCGGCTGTAGGCCCCGCCCACCCGGCTAACTGTGAAATGTGCGTCTCCTCCTCCCGGAGCTTCGCGCCCACCCGAGGACCCTGGCGACACGGGTGCTTGTACCCCCGCTCCCCTCCCCAGCTGTCTGTTGTGGCCGCTGCACGGCTTTCTCTGACCTTCCAGGACCTCAGCCTGCACCTGGAGCCCAGGCCGGGGGTCCCCCTCTGCCCGCCAGCCTGGGACGCTGGAACCAGCCTGGGAGACGCTGGGTGGTGGGTGGCCAGGGGAGTGTCAGGTGTAGACACGCCCGGCAGTGCCAGCTCCTGGGGTGAAAGTGTGCTCCTGGGGGGTCCTGAACCCCCAGAGGTCTGGTGTCCAGGTAAGGGACTCGGGTAGCTCCTGCTGTCCCCTCGAGTGGCTGGTGGTCAGCGGCTGGGCTCACTGTCCCCTGCGTTGAGCCGGCACCAGGGCAGAGCTCTGTCCCCCTCTCCTCTCTCTGTCTCCCTCCTGTGCCTGCCCCCCACCCCACGCCTCCCTCTTTGTCCTCCGCTCATCTCTTTCTCTGTCTGTCCTTCCACACACAGGGCTTTGGGTTTGTAACTTTTGAAACTAGCTCGGACGCTGACCGAGCCCGGGAGAAGCTCAACGGGACCATCGTAGAGGGCCGGAAAATCGAGGTGCTCAGATACGCGAAGGGCTCCCCACACCACCCTGACCCTCAGGGCCAGGCCAGGTCTCCTGGGGAGCAAGGCATGGGGGGTGGATGGGAAGGGTCACTAGGGATGTGTCCACCCACGTCCTGTCTCAGCCGAGCCCTCACCCACCACCCCACGTGGGACAAGGTGTCAAATCATGAAGTGGTCTCCTCCTCTGCAGAGAGGGAAGGAGGTGAGGGATGCACCTGACCCTGTACCCCTGTGCTCACCAGGAGCCTCCACGCCAGGTGCCCTGCACTGAGAGGGCCCAGAAATTGGCTTGAGGCACTGCCAACTTCTGAGACTAGTCTGTCTCCAGCCGGCCGCCCCTGGCCCCCTTCACTGCCCAGTACCCCGAGTTTTCCCAGCTCCCACTCTGGGCCAGGTAAGGTGGGAGCAGCAACAGCTAGTGTCCGGGCCATCGAGTGTCCCCCTTCCCTGCTCAGAGGCCCACGTCCCAGAGGGCAGGTGCATCCTGGGCCCAGGGCTAGCCAGCGCTGGCCCACCACAGCAGGGCAGTAGGTGGCTGGAGGGGAGGACAGCTCAGCAGCTGGTGCAGGGGCAGCCGACCAAATGGTGGACCCAGGCTTCAGCCCAGCACCAGATGACCGGTCACCTGAGGCTTCAGCCCAGGGCCTGCTGGACAGATCGTGGACGTAGGCTACAGCGCGGTCCACACTTGTGCTCTCATCCCTCCCTCCTGCGCCCCTCTGCATCTGCCTGGCCTCAACTGCCCTCAAGTGCACAGACCAGGTCTCCCCTCGTGGACTCTCTCATTGTCATCAGAGCTGCCCCTCCCGAGTCTGTAAATCCCACGGGAAGAGATGGTGTATCTTCCTTCCTTGTGGTCACTGGTGGATTTGAACCATCAAAGTGGCTCAGCCTTGGGGCCAGCAGTCCCACTCCTTGTAGACACCACCACCAGAGCTCTCTGGCTCTCTTCTCGGGTGTCTGAAAATAGTCCCCTCAGGGCTCCCCCAGCATGCTTTCTGAGTGCACAGCAGTGGAGGACTTGCCTCTGGGAAGTGGGGCGCACCCACAGGAGTGAAAGCCACCTGCATCCTGTGAGAGCTGGCTCCTGGACAGCCTGTTAGCCAGACTGAGGGCATGGGAAGACCCACCAGGTCCTCCACCGTCCCGGGAGAGGCCGAGCTCACTTCCAGTGAGCAATGCCAGCAGAGCTGGATATAAAGGCTTCTGCTGAAAATCAGGGGTCGGATGTCTGGGTGGGTGTTGACCAACAGGGGGTATATAGCCAAGACTTCGTGGGAGAAGGACACTAGGCGGAGACCCAGGTGGCAGACCATGGAGCCAGGCTGGGTAGCAGAGGCCTTTCTGGAATTTTCCACCCCTCCATGGTGACCAGTAGAGGGATAGCAGCAGGGAAGGAAGGTAAAGGTACCCTCATTCGCACCATCTCTCTGTGCAGGTCAATAACGCCACGGCCCGCGTCATGACCAATAAGAAGACAGTGAACCCCTACACCAATGGTAAGAGCCCTGTCACACATGATTGTCCCTCCTTCATGTCCCAACCTGCACCTGGTCACCTTGCTTCATGTCCCAGCCTATACCTGACCAGAAGAGATAGGGAACTTCTTTATGTCCCAGCCTGCACCTGATCAGGGGAGTTGGGGCTCCCTTCATGTTCCAGTCTTCTCCTGGTCAGGGGAAATAGGACACCCCCTCATGTCCCAGCCTGCACCAGGTCGGGAGAGATGGGACCCCCTCCCTAATATCCCAGCCGTACCTGGAGCAGAGGATAGCTGAGGCTACTTTCCGCGTACTCATAGTGGATTTGTCCTGCCTTGGGGCTCCTCAGTACCCAGAGAGGTCACAGCTGTGGCTATGGAACAGAAAACCAAAAGGCATCCTTGACCTTGATCTCTTTCTCCGTGGACTCCTGTTGGTGGATGCTGGGGTCAGAAGCTGTGCTGGCTTATAGCCAGGAAGGCGAGTGCAGTCAACTTTTAGCCTCTGGCTCCCCTGGGACTCCTCCGGGGCTCAGTCCTCTCATCTGCAAACAGGACAGTGCTTCCCACCTTTCAGGAAAGGACCTGGTGTCCCTGAGTGCCATGCACGGGCCTGAGATGTAGGCTACCTAGGGCATGAGCAGGACAGTGGTGAAAAGGAAGACTTCCCTCAGGCTCTGGAAACGGGAAGAATGCCTCCTTCCTGGTCCCTCAGTCTCGGGGTGCACTCAGCTGACACTCAGTGTCTCACTGAAAGGCTAGAGGTGGATGTCCACCCTGAAGCACTTCAGAAGAAAGGCCTGGAAATCCGCCTTCAGGATCTCATCCAGAGGGCACTATGTGGTGTGGCTCCTCTTGACCACTGGGGTGCTGTGGGACGTGACTCTGCCCAGCCACTGGGGGCCCCTTTGCTCAGCACACAGGCTCGCAGCAGGCCTGAGTTGACTTGAAGGAGGCTGGTTGTGACCGGCTGGATGACCCCTGCCCCCTAACATGCTCGCACTGGTGGACAGAGCTATCTGGAAGCCGGTGGCCGTTCTTCGAAGGTGAAGCTTGCATGGAGCTGACAGTATGTTGGGCATCTTTTCCAGAATGTTCCTTCCCACAGCTTCTCAAGTTGTTATTGTTGTTAGGCCCATCAAGTTGACTAACTCCCAGCAACCCTGTGCACAACAGAGCTTGACCTTCGTGGCCTGCACCCTCCTCTCTGACAGGCCCCAGCATCGCTCCAGTCACGGGGTCAGCCCTTTCTCTCCACAGTCTGTCTCTTCTCGGACCCTTCACCTTTCCCAGCAAGATGCCTTTTGCCATGGGCTGGCCGCTCTTAACAGCACCCCCAAAGTGTGTGAGCTCGAGTTTCACTATCCTTGCCTCTAGGGAACAACCGATTGTACTTCCTCCAGGACAGACTTGTTCTTTTCACGGTCCACGGTATATGCACTACTCTGCCGGCACCACAATTCAGAGGCATCAGTTCTTTAGTTTTCCTTCTTCCTCGTCCAACTTTCAGATGCCAATTGACAATACCATGGCCTAGTGGCAAGAAGCTGCACTGCAATCCCAGAGGTATGTGGTTCAAATCCACCAGATGCTCTGCCGGAAAAGGAGGGGCAGTCCCCTCCTGTACCTGTCAGATCTGATTTGACGGTACAGACACACACAAAGTAATAAAATTTAAAAAAAAAAAGAAAACACCATGACTTGGATCGGGTGCACCTTAGTCTTTAAACTGATATCCTTTCTCTCAAGCTGAACCCCTTAAATATGGCAATGTTTGAACAGACTGAACAGGTCTCCCTTGGACATACGCTTTGGCATTTGATCCTCTGGTGGGGACGAGCTGACCAGAGGTACCCCATTTTCTTACCTGACCCCATGATCAGGCAGTGGACAGAGCAGGCAGCCTGCAGTGGGGCCCGGTGGCAGCACGTGCCTTCCCGTCCTCCCCATCATACCCAGGTCTGAGGCTGGCACATGGCCAGAGCTCTGGCAGGGGTCAAATCTACCACCTGCCTGGCTTTCTGGGGGGGGGGGGCGGGCCTTGGGGAGGGACCAGCAGGCAGACACCTCGCTCCTTTTCTACAGTGTCTGGTTCCTACCATCCAAAACTCTATGAAACCGTTTAAGGTGAGGCGCTCGGGCCTGCTGGGCCAGGCACTGGGGCTAATTGTCTTCAGCAGTGTTGTTCGGAGTAGGTGGAGATTCTTGGAGCTGCGGTGTTGACAAAGCACCGCATACCCCATGGACTGTCAAAAGAACAAACACGCCGTGGAAGGTCAGTGAGAAGGGTCCTAGGAGGCACAGGTGGTAGGACTTTGTCGCACGCACACCAGGCATGTTAAGAGGAGCCACCAGCCCTTGGGGACGTCGAGTTCGGTAACCTGGATCTGCCTGGCAAGAAAGAGAAAGGCCCTCAACAAGGTGGATCGAGGCACTGTGGGTAACAGGAGCCCCACACACCGCAACGACGGGGAGGCTGGTGCCAGGCCGTGCCGTGCCCCTTTCTGGGGCACACGAGGCCGCTGTGAGTCCGATCAGGTCGCCAGTGTCTGATAACAACAGATCTTCACGTGGGCAGCATTGCACCTTCTGAGGAGTGGCGATGGGGTCAGACTCTGGCCAGCATGTGTGATCACGTGCAGGGCTGCAGGACAGCGTCCCAGGAGCATTCCCAGAACAGCTCAGCTGGAAAAGGAGAAACACGATGAGTGAGATGTCACAGTCGTGCTCCACGAGGGAACGTGATGACGGCTTCCGTTGACACTGGAGAGTCAGGCTTCAGTGGTGCTGCTGCTGGTGGGAGGGAGACAGCTGGAGTTGGTTTCTGAATGTGAGCGTCAGGAAGGTTTGTCCAGAGCTGTCCATCCGTCCTGCACGGCCTAGTTGGTTTCTGAATGTGAGCGTCAGGAAGGTTTGTCCAGAGCTGTCCATCCGTCCTGCACGGCCTAGTTGGTTTCTGAATGTGAGCGTCAGGAAGGTTTGTCCAGAGCTGTCCATCCGTCCTGCACGGCCTCGGGGCAGCGGAGGCCCTCCGCACCTGTAGGGACCTTGACCCCCTCTGTGCAGGGAGCTTTTTCTCCTCACTTTGCTGCATTGGGACTAAAGGCTTCAGAAGCTCTTTCATCAAAAGCTTTGGTTCTGGCGTTTCCTGCCCAAGTCTCACGCAGATGCCAGAGAGCCAGAGAGTCAACTGTGGCTCCTGCAGACTCTGTGAACAGCAGAGTGAAACCTGGCCCTGTCCACTCCATCCCCACGGGCTCTGCCACGCTCAGTGAGCTCACCGCTGTGGTCATTCATTGCATTGAGGGTCCGCCTCCTTTTGGCCAGTTCACCACCTTTCCAAGCTCCATGTCGTTTTCCAAAGACTGGCCCATCGTGATGACATGCCCGAAGACGGGGGACAGTCACACAGTCCTTCCTTCTTACGAGCACCCTGCCTGCCCTTCCAGGACTGGTTTGCTGGTTGGCAGTCCATGGACAGTCCCCATTCTCCACCAGCACCACAGTTCAAAGACATCAGTTCCCTTTCCGTCTTCCTGCGCCGTTGTGCACCCTCCACACGCAGGCAAAGCAGCTGAGAACACAGCGGCTCCGCGCGGGTGCAGCCTGGCCGGCCAGTGACTCCATGGCCGCGTTCTGCCCAGAGGACAAGTTCCCAGTCATTGATGGGGATTCTTGTCCAGCTCCAGAGTCACACACCAGGACCATGGGTACAGAGGCGATCAGAGGAAACACACGCCGAATGCCAAGTTAGGGACTCAGCACTGTTCACCAGCCTGTGAACTGTGAACCAGCAACTGGTAGAAGCTGAGGGTGGCCGTCAAGGCCCCAGGAACCATGCCAGGCTTTTGTGAGCGCTGCACAGTCATCCCGGTGCCCTCTGGCACGAACCATTTGTTGTCTTTAATCCTCCTTTGTAATACAGCGGGCATTAGAGCTGTCCCGTTAAGGACCAGGTATCACAGCGGATGTACAGCTTCTAGTACTCCCACCCCCTTCTCTGCGGAGGCACATGCCCTGAGCTGGTACGCCTGGTGTCTCTGGCTGGAGAAGGGCTAATTTGGAAAGCACCCAGAAGACTGGGTCAGTGTGGCCTGTGTCCATTATCAACCATGACAGCAGCCTGGGGAAGGGATCTGGTTTGTGCCAGTGCATGGCTCCCCCTGCCCATGGCAGGAGGGGCTCTATCTGCTGGTGTGGAGGCCACCCCTCCAGAGTGCCCACTCCCTGGCAGGGGAGGCAGAGAAGGCTGAAGGGTGGGGAGAGATTGACGGCTTCACTTCTGTCCTAGGGTGGAAGTTAAACCCAGTGGTGGGCGCAGTCTACGGGCCTGAATTCTATGCAGGTAAGGGCTGGAAGCCTGCTGGTGCAGTGCTTAAAGCGTTGGGCTTCTAACCAGAGCTGGGTGGGACTCAGTGTCCCCTCCTTGGGGGGAAGAGGAGGCAGTGTGGTCCCTGGAGAGCAGGGCCTTGGAACCCCTGGGGGGCTGGTCCGCTCTGCCTTTCAGGTCACTCGGAAACGACTAGATGGCAGTGTGCCTGGGATTGTTTTCGTTTTCTTCTGTTTTAAGGGCTGGTGGTCCCAAGCTGGCTGGGTATTACAAGCCCGCCAATGATTGGAAACTGACTCCTAGCCAACCCTCCAGCGGGTTTTCTGAGGCTTTAAATCCAGGGGAGGAAACTGCCCATCTTTCTTCCACAAAGTAGCTGGTGGATTCGAACCACCGGCTTTAGGGTTGGCCATACAGGCTGTCATGAGACTGTTGCCAAGGGAGGGTCTGCTGTGAGGTGTGGCCACCTGGGGGCGGGGCCAAGTGGGAGGGTCAGGCCCGGTGAGGGCGGGACCAGGCGATAGGGTCAGGTCTGTCGGGGCAGGACCAGATTCTAGTGTCTGTAGAAGGTGCGGTCTGGTGGGAGGTGGGGCCAGGTGAGAGGCAGTAGGCATCACCTGGGCAGGTGAGAGGAGAAGACAGGTGTGGCTGGCCTGGTGCGGCTGTCACACTCTGGGCTCTCGTCCCTGCAGTTACGGGGTTCCCCTACCCCACTACGGGCACCGCGGTTGCCTACCGGGGCGCGCACCTCCGGGGCCGGGGCCGGGCCGTGTATAACACCTTTCGGGCTGCGCCACCCCCGCCCCCCATCCCAACATACGGAGCGTGAGTACCTGGGGTGTCCCGGGGGGGGGCACAGGTAGGGGGCACAGAGACAGATCCCGGGAGGGTGGGGGCGGGGAGCCTTTCCAGAAGGTCTAGGGCCTGGAAGGGACTCACTGCAGCCACCTCCCCCTCTTGGGCCCCCCTCCACCCCGCCACGTGACACTTAGGTGGGGCCAGGTCCACTCTGGCCCAGCAGCTCGGCTTCTCTCAGCCCTTGTTGGTCTGTTTCTTGGGGGTCCCGGGGTGGTCAGGGCCAGGTGAGGGCAGTCACCCCAGGGCGCAGTGTCCTCCCCCACAGGATGGGGCAGCAGCTGCAGGGGTGGTCATAGGGGCAGCGAGGCTGGGGCCCCGGACCTGGGGGATCATGGCCGAAGGAGCTGACCAGCAAGGGTGTTGCTCTATTGAACAGGGCCCTGGAGCACAGGTTTATTAAAATGCCCGTCTCGTGGGCCGGGCTGGCCCCGTGCCCCCGCCCCCAGCAGACGCCGGAGCCGGCCCACCCCGCCTCTCCAGCCTTCCCCCCACTCTCTTGTCCGTTTGCTTCCAGGGTCGTGTATCAGGACGGCTTCTACGGTGCTGAGATTTACGTAAGTGGAGCCCGGGAGGGAGGGAGGGCCCAGGGGTCCACCCCACCACCCCCAAACTGGAGGGGCGGGTCCTTGGAGCACCACCTCCAACCTCTGAAGATCTGGGGGTCTGAGCAGGAAGTCCCTGGTCATGCCACCCAGAGGTGCCACATAGGAAAAGCCTGGTCATCTCCTCAGTGTTCAGCCCTGAAGGGAGCATGGCTCTGCTCTGATGCACATGGGCTCCCAGGTGTTGGACTCCACTCTGTGACCACTGACCAGTGGTTTGGACCTCACAAGAGTAGCCAACAGAGGAGAGCTTGGTGGCCTAGTGGCAAGAAGCTCTACTGCAATCCCAGAGGTGTGCGGTTTGAATCCACCAGATGCTCTGCTAGAGAAGGGACAGTTTCCTCTTGTACTAGTCAGATCCGACTTGACACACACAAAATAATAAATCTTTTTAAAAAACCAACAAGAGTAGCCAAAGGGGTACTCAAAGAGCTCCCAGCAGGCCTCAGACCAAACACTACGAGGTGCCTTCTCTGTGGGAGAAAGGACTTTCCAAGCCACTAGGAGGGATCTTGGGTCAGTGGGTGAGCTCCATGGGCACCCCATGACCAGTCCTGCAGAGGCCCCGAGAGGGCCAGGAGGGGTTGCCCTGGGCAGCAGGCTGTGTGGATCCGGGGTCCTCACACCTCTTGGGGTGAGGACTTCCCAGGTGAGGCTTCCTCAGATGGGGCTCTCCTGTGACTGCCCCCCCCACTCAGTCCTGTAATCCAACCACCGCAAGCTCGTCCAGGACCAGGATACCAGAGCCAGTGTCCCTCCAGTGGCTTCCCTAGTCCCGTCAGCTCCAGAGTCGGGGACGCTGGCTGGGTGGCAGTCCCCTCCTGCGAGCAGTGTCACGTGAGCCTTGAACTGCAGTATGTGTTGCGTGCACACGTGGATACGTGAATGAACGAGGTTTCCAGGCACTTCCATCCCTTCCCCCGCTCCCCACACCCACCTCACTTTGAAACTTTTGAACTTGGTCGGCAGCTCTAAGCCCCCAGGCCAGGAGCAAATGGTCCACAGAGTGGTCTCTCTCCTCACCAGGCCCCTGGGCTGAGCCTCACTAAGTGCTGTCCCTTCCTGTCCCTCTCCTACAGGGAGGCTATGCAGCCTACAGATATGCTCAGCCCGCGGCAGCCGCCGCTTACAGTGACAGGTGAGGCTCGGTGACTTGGGGTACTGGGGGGTGCGGGCAGGAAGGTGGTAGAAGTCTCACCTGATCAGAGGCAGAGGAGCAAGTATGTGGGTTTGGAGGCCCTGACCTTGTGGGTCCCACCTTCTTCAGTCACACCTGGTCAGCCTGAAGGAATGTGGGTGACTGGGCCCCCCAGCCCCCGGGCTGTAGATGGAGCCAAGTGCCAGCCCTTACGGCCTGAAATGACCCTCCATTACCACCAAGGCCCACAAAAGGGTCCTGAGGAGCACTCCTGGGGATCGGAGGAGGCCAGCCAGGGGATGCCCCAAAAGCGGCTGGCTGTCCACTCAGCTGTAAGCCCCAGAGCATGCCTGTGAAGTGGCCACGCCTTCCTCCTGGGGAACCCCAGTTCCTGTGCGGGGCCATGAGATGGGCCATCCTAAAGTCAGTGCTTGCATAGGCCTGGGCACTGCGGGGCCTTCTACCCGTGGCCAAGGGACCCTCCCACACACCCTCCCTGCAGCCTCTTGCTTCACGCTGAGTCCAGCTGAGGCCCTCCTCTGAAGAGCTGATGTGATAAACTGGGCTGAGGAGGGTCACTGAGGGGACAGCTCTGCCCCCTCTGACCCTGTGGTCTGTCTTCCCCAGTCCAGCTGTCAGGGCTCCCCTCTGTCCCGCCCTGTGGCTCTCAGTACACTGCCTGCACCCAGCATTGCCTTCCACACTGGCCAGATTGGGGAAGCCCGAGTGGGGGCCACACTGGGGGAGGGGCAGGGAAGCTGCTGATGCCCCTCACCCACCTTCCTGCTGCCCCCCATATTCTTCCCAGTTACGGCAGAGTGTATGCGGCCGCTGACCCCTATCATCACACGGTCGGCCCTGCAGCCACCTACAGCATTGGAACCATGGTAAGGAGGAGGCCGGTCAGGGGAGGGGGCCTGGCGTGGCTGGGGAGGGGCACGGCTGTCAGAGGAGCTCAGACCTCTGCCCTAAATCCTGCGTGATGCCTCGGACACCAGCTTTCCACCCAAGGCCAAGGCTAAGGCTGCCCATTTGTGCCATTTAAGGAAGATTAGGGTAAGAAATGGGCTGGTTCAGGGATGTGTCCTGGAACCTGTGTTCTGAAACCCCAGACTTAAGGCCCTGCCCTACACCCCATTCTCACAGCAAGAAGACACACTCATAGTCACACGTCCTCCTGTTGATGATCTGGGGGTGTCTGAGCCACTGTCCATGCCTGTCTTGTTCTGGTCACTCCATTCTGTGCCCTGCCCACGCTTCCTCACCCAGCACTCACAGTCCTTCTGGACTGAGCCAGTCAGACACTTCTGTGGGGAAGGGGAACTTGACCCCAGCCTTGAGGGGCAGGTTGTTGTGTAGATAGCATCATGATAGAGGAGGGGGTACCCACTGCCAGAGGGGTGTGGACCAGCATGTGTGTGTGTGTGTGTGTGTGTGTGTGTGCGCGCGCGCGCGTTGCCAGCTGTGGACACATACAGCCCAGCTCACTCTGCACCCGAGAATCTCCTTCCAGTGCCCATGCCTCCCTGCACGCCCCCACCCCCACCAGGGCCACACTGGTTTTCAGTTAGCTTGATCCAGCATCAAAGATGGAAACATCTAGGGGGCAGGGCACGAGGGGGTCCAGAGCCTGTGCGCACCTCTGTCTGCCCAGGCTTCGATTGTTGGCCCTTTCCTGGAGTTTTGGCGTGCTCCTTGGCAGCCCTGGGGTATGGGCAGAGTCTGCATCGGGGCCGCCCTGCATCTCCGCGCAGCTCCTGGAGGAAGGTGCTATTACCCACAGGGCACCTGGTCTGTCTGTTCACTTTGTATTTTTATAAGATTTTCCTTCTCCTCTCAGTTTTTCCAATTACAGTTCCTTTTTCTTTCAATGAGAAACTAATAGAGTGGGAGATTCTGGGGTGTTTCCTAAATAGGGGAGACTCCCCAGGGGCAGGAGAGAGAGGAGGAGCCCCCTTCAGGCCTGTCCTGCAAGCAGGAGGCCACAGAGGCTGGACCAGGAAAGTTGGAACCCCCATTGTGAGTCCCTTGGGCTGGGCTTGGTGAACTGACTTGGCCCCATGGAGGAATAGTCCTGCCCACACCCAGGCCTGCCCTAGACTGGCCCCTGGACTCCAGTGCAGAGGAGTGGCCCCAGAGGACTCTAGAGCTCATCGCCAGCAGGACTGTTGGCCAGCAGCCCAGAGTACCACCTTCCCACCGAGACCACCCGATCAGAAGCAGTTCTAGGGCCTCACAGACCTGGTCCCTGTGGCGGCCAGCCCAGTCCCATGCTCGTCCCCTTGTGATAAGAAGCAGGCAGATAGAGCCATTTCTCTTTCGGATTTCTTCCTTTTTCGTTTCGCCTGGCTTTGACCTGAGGCTCACTGACTGTCTATTCCATCTTTGATGTTGCAGGCAGGCCTCGGTCGAGTAGGGTACAGCTGCTTTGCCCCCTACTAGTAAGAGACCCAGCCCCTAGCAGCATCCTCTCTGATGCCTTTTACACACACCCCAGCTCCAGGAGGCAGTGCGTCCCTCCCAGTCAGCCCCACCCTGCACTGACCCTCGACCCTAGACCCTTAGGGCTTCTTCTGTCCACCCCACCTCACCCACGGGGTGTGTGTGTCTCTGGCCCTGTGGCCCCCATGTGCCCAGGTATGGTATGTCCAGGACTCAGTGGAAGGCCAGCCAGATGTGAGGGGCAGTGGCCACTCTCATGGGTCAGGACCTAGGGTCCACAGAGCTACAGAGGAGGCTCAGCCTGGCCTGGGCTCGTCTCTGCCCATCCCTAGGATGCCACCCCCACGCAGCCCTCAGCATGATACAGCCTTGCCCCTAGTGTCAGGAGCCTTGTGCCAAGTCTCCTGCCAGTGGCCGTGTCCAGTCTACACCCACTAACCAGGCCCATGGACCTCCTGGCCTCTTGTTCAGCTGAAGCCTTTTTATTGATGTTTCCTGTGAAAGTTGTCACAGATTGGGGGCGGGGGGTTGGGAGAGAGCAGAGTGGACGGTGAAGACCGACCAGCCAGCGATGCTTTGCCTCTGCTGTGCACATGGGGTGTGGGGGGCTCCTCCTCGGCCCAGGATCCTCCCAGCCACCAAGGAGCAGGGCCTGAGTGTCCCAACAGCTCCCTCTCCCAGTCACCACCTAGAGGGCCAGGGCCATGAGGTGAGGACGGGGTGCTCCAGTAACACGTCCTGACCCCTACGCTTGTCCAGAAGGGCTTTGGACAGGTGCAAGGGAAGGAGAAACTCGGTGGATAAGGACCTTCCCTGGTGGTCCCACAGGACCACCCCCAGTGCTGGGCCTCAAGGTCCTTAAAGCAATCCGTGGGGTCCCCTGGAGAGCTGTGAGTCCCCTGGGGAAGAGTCCACCAAGCTGGCCAGGGTCCCTCCAGCTCCACTGCAAGGCAGAGGGGCGGTGGGCATCCCCTCCCCAAAATACACAAACACTGAGGGCTCCCCTGCCAGTGGGGACACGATGCCCCTCAATGGGGGCGCTGCCAGTTGGAGCCTGCCCCTCCTCTCCTACTCTCCATCAAGGCAGAGAGGTCTGGGAGGGTCCTCAGAGCTGAAGGCCAGTGTCCACCACCTTGCCCTCACAGCTAGGCCCAGCTCTACCCACTTCTGCATCCCCACTTGACCCTCAGCTACGCCCACCACACCACCCCTAACACACCAGACCCTGGAGGGTGGGAGCCTGCCTTGAACATAGCCTTCCCTGGTACAGCGGGGTGGTGGGCGCAGGGTGGTGGCCAGCCCCACAGCCCCACTCGCTGGCCACGTGTCCAGCCTGCCCAGGGCCGAGTCGCCCGCCCCCCCCGGGCCCCGGGCCCAGCCTGCCCGGGGCCGAGTCCCCCCCCCCCCCCCCCAGGCCGTGGCTTTTGTGAAACCACAAGTTTCCTTTTGTTTCTGTTGTAGTGAAAACTTCCTCCGTCTCCTCCTTGGACCGTGAAGGGCAAAAACAAAAACAAAAAAACAAAAAAAATTCACAAAACAACACACACAAAAAAACCCCACAAAAACAAAATAAAAAATAAAAAAAGATGTTACAATCCAAGCAAGCAGCCAGCCAGCCAATCCAAGAGGCATCCACAGAGAGCAGCGCCGACGGAGCGCCGCCTGCAGGAGGCACTGTGCCACCCGCCGGATGGAGAGAGGCGCCCGGCCGCCAGCCCCCCTGCCCCGCCGGCCGAAGCCCCTGTCCATCCCGGCAGCAGTGGAGAGTTGGAAGGGCGTGGGCCCATTTTCTATCAAGTCTTCCTTTCTGGGGCCTCGGCCCCGTCCAGTGTGGGCCTTACAGAGGTGTGGCCAGCTGTGTGGAGGCCAAGGAGAGGAGCTGAGGTGGGGTGTGCAACAGGGCAGCTTGTCGTATGTGGGAGCTCTGCGTGGGCCAGCGTCCAGCCCCCGTGTCTCATCCCAGTGCCAACCTGTGCCTGGGGTCCTGATCCTGTCCCGTTGGGGTCGCAGGTTCCCAGAGGGCAGCTGTCCAGTGGGTGGCCCTGGAGTGGGCGCCGGCCCTGCACAAGAGCTGACATTAGGCCAGAACTGGGGGCTCAGGCCACTGCTCCTATGCAGAATGGAAGGCCAGGGAGGACTGAGGCCTGGAAGGTGGGGCCCAGTGGTCATTTCCTTCTTGGAAGTAGCCCTGGGAGAGGGGATGGGGCCCGCCCTGCGCAGGGAGGCCCGGGGCTCAGCCCAGCCCTGCCAGGCCCAGAGCAGGAAGGTTGAGGGCCAAGGCAACGCAGGGCTGGGGTAGGCATCTCGGTGCTATAGACCAGAGCCGGCGCCCCAGAGCATGGGGTACCCACATGGGAGGAGAAGGCTTGGGTGACCCTATCCTGCAAGGGGGGTGCAGCTTGGCTGTGGCCATCTCCCCGCTGGATGGCCAGGGCTCCAGAGAGGGAGAGAAGCCTTCAGTCCCCGTGGGTGGGCAGATGGGTCACAGAGGAGAGGTGCGAGGTGCAGGGGCAACAGAGGGAGGGGAGGCGAGGGAAAAACCCAATAATCCACACACATCTGCAGCTCCCAGCGCGGCCCGCTGTCCGTGAACGTGACCGTGAGAGGGACACCTCACTTTCTACGCCGGCATCAGCTCCCGAAGCTACGACCGAGATCCTTTTCTATTCCCATGTACATAGACTCGCCCGCCTCTGGCAGCTCCCGGCCACACACTGGCCGGACCCTTTTCTGCAGCAGCTCTGCCCCCCCTCCCAGTGCCCCCAGGACGGGAGCCGCCCGGCGCCCTTTCTTACCATTCTGTATGCTTCCCAGGTGTGGTCGTTCCAATCAGCAGTGTTATTATTAAGGTTATTAATAAAGATTTCTTTCTTCAAACCAGGATGACTCTCTAAGTTGGGCGGCTCCTGCATCCAGGGGATGGAGGCCACCCAGGGGGTCTGCCTCCAAACCAGATAGCAAAAACGTGCATTGGAGACCCCCATGCCTGAGGCAGGGAGAGTTAACCATTCCCTCCACATAGTCCCAGGGCAAGCACAAAGGGGGACTCCCCTCCCTCAAATGGGGTGCAACCCTTGGGAGTCAGAGCCCCCACCCACAGTGTGGTCGACCCAGTGGGGCCTGGGAGGAATGGCAACGCCTGTGGTCCAATGGCTGGTGCCCACAGGCAAGAAAGGCTGCATGGCCCTCTCTCTGAGGTTAACTGTTCCCTCGCCATGGCCCTAAAGCCCTCCCAAGGGGCAGCACTGAAGGCAAACCCACTTCAGCAACCCTCCTTCTTGACCTCATACCCCAGGGAGGTTAGGCGGTGGCCTGCATTGCCCCACCGAAGCTGGGGTGCAGTGGTGAGGTGGAGGACCAGGCCGAGGTGGCTGACCTCAAGCTGAAAGCTGGAAAAATCTAAGCCCCAGTGGGCTGCAGAGGCAGGACCCAGAAATGGAACCAGCCAGGCCCCTTAGCCAGAGCTGAGTTCTCTGTTTCTCAAGCCACCAGATAACCCTAGAGAAGGGCGGGGATTTAAATGCCGCCTATCTGTTCCCTGCCCTCAAGACTTTCTGTTGGTGGGCCTGGGGACCAAGCTCTCAGGAGCTGGGGTGTGTGTTTCTGCCACACGCCATGCACTGCTAACCCCTGCCTTGTAATTGCTTGCTCACCAGACTGTGAGAAAATAATTGCCACTATAAATTCCCTCTTCTGCGTAAAATATTTGGGGGACCAGCACTTTTCAAAGTCTCCATGAAATAAGGGCTGCCGGGGAGGGGTGGCAGTCCCCCGGCTTCAGGGAGATCCAGGACTTATCAGGACAGAAAACCAGGGCTCTGAATCGACTCAGCCATGGTTGATAATGACACTAGGACAGATTCAAATTCTTTAAATTTGGGAGAAGTGGAACAGTAACCAGATCACAAAGATGCGGAGTCCAAGCCCTAGATGGGAGACGTGAGGGAGCATGGCGAGCCCTTCCAGGAGCGGATGCAGGAGACCGAACCACTGGCAGGACGAGCGGGCCACAGACACGCAGAAACGGAGTCTGCCGCCCTCTTTGAGCCAGGCACCCGTGTCTGATTGTGTTGGTCCAGAGCTTTGATCGCTGTGCAACTCAAATGTTACACTTGCTTTCCAGTAGGAGAATCAGGTTCCTCGCAGGGACTGACCTATACTTTTCCCCCTTCTGGTTATGGTTCCCTTTCACTCATATTTTAAAAATCTCAAAGCCCCACCAAAAACAGACTGGAAGGAGGGTGGACTTGGGCTGGAGTTAGCAGAAAGACCTGCATGAGGTACCCTCTCCTGGTCAGCAAGTAAGCCCCAGAAAGCCTACTTCTTGCTCTGGTGCAGGGGGCCCCTCGAGCTCCACAGAGTGGAGAGAGAAGATGGCTTATTTAAGAGTGGATCTATCCAAGATTCCCAGGCTGTCCACCTGTCACGCAGCTCTGGGGGCAGGCCAGAAGGAACCAGGAGAGTGGAGATGAGGTACCGGCTAATGCCAGCTGCAGGAATGAGTGCCCAGCCCCTACCCTTTACGGCACACAAGCAGCTGAGTACTTTTCCCCGAAAACACAAGCTCACAAGGAACCTCACCAGCTGTGAGGGCCGAAGGTTGGAAAGGGAAAGAACAAGGTGGCCACCTGGTGGCAGCTCTTGCTATGACAGATGAGAGGCTTTGCGTGCATTTGCTGGGACCTGGGGTCCTGGAGGTGCGGTGAGCACTCACTGTAAACCAGGAGGTTGGCAGTTCAAATCAACCAGCTGCTCCACAGAAGAAAGATGTGACAATCTTCCCCATAAAGACTGTTGTTGTCAGGAGCTGTCAAGTCCTCCTACACTTTTTTGTTGCTGTGTCCCAGAGACAGGACTGATCCATGGGTGACCCTCGGTGGGTTTTCAGAGGCAGTGAATGGCGTGGGAGGAGACGGCCCACCTTTCTACCGCAGAGCAGGTGGTGGCTTTGAACCTTGTGCCTTTAGGTTGGCAGCGTAACTCCTTACTACCAAGCCACCAGAGCTGACTCACAGCGAGCTTACACTCATCAGAAGGAAGCCATGGCCAACCCCGCCATCTCTGCTCTGCACCCACCGTGTCCACCTTGAAGGTCTTTTCCTTGGCTCCCCTTTACCAAGCATGCTACCCTTCTCCAGGGACTGGTTCGTCTTGACAGCACGTCCAAACGACGTGAAAGGAAGTCCCGCCACTTTTTCTTTAAGAAGCATGAAAGGCTACACTTCATCCAAGACAGACGTGTCCTGTTAAAGGCGGAATTCCACCTTGACCAACCTCGCAGTTCACAGCCACTGATTCTTCCTGCATATTCCGTTCATTACCCAACTTTCAGACACATACACAGCAAGTGAAAATACCAAGGTTCGGGTCACTGCACCGGGGTCTACAAGGTGGTATCTTTGTTGTAAGGAGTCCTTTGCAGCCAGTGCGCCCACTGCAGTGTGTCCCTTGATTTCTTGATTGGCGGTTCTGTGGATGCTGATTGTGGAACCAAGGACAGGAAATCCTTACACCTCTGGGTCTTCATCACGGTGTTCTTCCTGGTGTGGGGTTTGTCTTCTTGATGTTGAGGGGTCACCCAGCCTGCAGGCTGTACCCACATCTTCAACCAGCCGGTGCTTCAAGTCTTGTTTTCAGCAAGTAAGTGGTATTGTTGGAACAAGTCGTGGACGAGACCTGCAGCAATCTCAGCGCCACGTTCTTCCTCCTATCATCCAGATTCTTGGGTTATTTACTCAGCAGACTGAATGGTGTGGTGGAAGGATCCAACCCTGCTGCCCACCTCTCCTGATCTTAAACTCTGCAGTGTTCCTTGCTCTGCTTAAACAACTGCTTCTTGGTCTACATACGGATTCTGCAGTAGCACAATGAAGTGTTCCGGAATTCCCATTCATCTACAGTGTGATCCACACAGTCAAATGCCTGTTTTTTTAGTCAAGGAAACAGAATTAACAGCCTGGGGAACCCTGTCAGCAGTCTGCTCTGTCACGTGGGTCTCTATGTGTGGAAAAGCTGATTCACCATCAATTAACAGCAGCTGGGGCCAGGGCGGCCCTGAGGTGAGACACCAGCCTGTGCACGTGTCCAATCCCGCAGTCCCCGGGGCCTCAAGGAGGGCTGGAGGCCTCGGACGCTGCTGGGGGAGCACGCACCCTCCTGGGCCTGTCAGGACGGCTCAGCCATCGGGTCAGGTCTCATGTTGGGGTGCTTTCCTCTGCTATCCCCATGCCCCAGCAGCCCTGGCACCCACTCATTTGTCACTATTCAGGCTGAAGCACATGGACAGATGCCCACCCCACAGTACACAGTAAGCCTAGGAGGAAATGTCTTCTGTGGAGTTTTCTACAGTTCCCCCAAGGGCGGTGTAGTCCATAGGGAGTTGCCCTGCTGACCCCCAAGTCCTGACACTGAACCCACTAGCTGTTCCAAGGGGGAAGATGGGCGATCCCTCCCAGGCAGTTTACAGAGCCTCTGACACCAGCTGGACGGTCAGTGTCAGTCAGTTCTGGCTTGACAATAATGCAATCCCAAGGGAGCTCTGGTGGCCTACTGGCAAGACGCTGCACTGCAATCCCAGAGGAGTGCGGTTCAAATCCACCAGATGCTCTGCTGGAGATGGAGGGACAATCTCCTCCTGTACCAGTCAGACCTGATTTGACAGTACACATAAAAATAATACAATAAAAAAAATTTAAAAATAATGCGATCCCCCCACCGACCCCCCTCCCCATTTTACTTTTTCCCCAAATGCATTAACTTCTCTCTGGGAACTGCATACAGAGAAGGACAGGGCAAGGCTAGAGTACCACCTCCAAGGCCCCCACCAAAGCCACGCCCACCCAGGGGCTGCCCTCGGGAGAGAGGACACTGGACGCCGTGGAGAACCGTGTTTAATGTCCATCACGCTCAGGGCTGCTGTAGAGGAGGGTGGCCCGGCCCCACTCGGTCTGAGGCACCAAAAACCCCTCCCTGGGGACCGGCTGCACCAGAAACTCCACCCGGCTGTCCTGGCCAGGCCCCGGGGCCACCACCGGAAGGTCCACAACACGGTACTGGTTGGTGAAGGCCAGTCCAAGGGCAGTGGGCTTCTCGGGGTCCAGAGGCCCCCCACGGTGAGGGCTCCCCAGGCCCCTCTGGCAGTGGACCCAGAAGCAGCGGACCTGAGGGAGTGGGAAGGTCCAGTGCAGGGTGCAGCTGAGCTGGAGCCGTGTGGGCACAGGGGCACCACCAGGCTCAGAGGCCGCCGGCCGCCAACAGACCTGTGACACGGTGATGGCCTGGACCTGGGGCAGGGGGCTCAGCAGGCTCTTGGCATCCACCACCTAGAGAGAGGGGTGTTCAGCACACAGGGAACCCCAGAGCACCTCCCCACACCCACCAACTCTGCACCAGAACAAGGAACAGGCGGACACCCAGCGTCAGCGCGGCCCAGCCCCACAGGCCAGTCCCACAGCGTCACCTGGATCTCTCCGAGGCGGCAGACGAAGGTCTCCTCCTGGCGGCTGCCTGGGGGCCGGGAGAAGCTGACAAAGAGGTCCTGCAGCAGGCAGTCCCGAAGGCTCACCTCATAGCAGCTGGGAGGAGGGAGACAGGCGGTCACCGGCACGCGGGAAGGACAAAGGTCCGGGGCACACAGGACACTATGGGCGAGACCTCCGGGCCTGTGGGCTCGAGTCCTGCACACGCCGACCACCGGCTCAAGGGGACCGTCATGCCCTCATCCACCACCCCGGTGTCAATGCCCTCGCCATGACATCGGAAGGATGAGGGGCACTCACCGCTGGACCCAGCCCCCACTGAGTGGTTGGCCACATCGGCCGGCCCACCTGGCCAGCTTGGTGGGGGGTACCCGGAGGGGCCGGACGCTATGTCTCTGGCTTGTCTCTGCTGCAGGAGGAGATGGGGTCAATTCAGGCTGCAGCTAAGCCTTGTGGTGGTCTCAGGGTACACCTGAGCGAGGGGAACCTCTGGGCAGTGGCTGTGAATTCCAGAGGACCAGGGGGAACAGAAATTTTGAGGATGTGGGCCACGTGTTCAGGAAGGATTGGGGATAGGGTAGACAGTGACCACATCCAGACAAGACTTGGGGGGACACTGCAACCTCAGAGATGGGAGCAGACACCTTCTGGGAGATGAGGACAAAGGCGTGGGTCCTCCACAGGCCACCCCTCTACCCTCTGCCTATTTCAGGCTTGAACCCTGTGGCCAGGCCTGGAGGCCCATCTTGGTGGTGTCACAGCCCGAGTCCTGGATGCCTCGGGGGGCAGCGGGGGGAGAGGAATCAGCAAGGAGCAGAGGGAGGGGCCTAGGAAGACCATCTCCTCACCATTCAGTGCTGAAATGCCACCGATGTGACAACTGGAGTCCCCTGTGCTGAGCTCCAAGGTCACCGTGACAGCCGACGGCCCTTCGAGTTTATACACCAGCGACAGGAAAAGTTTGGGCGGCACTGGGACCTGCAGGGAGAATAACCTGGAGGAGGGAGTGGCAGTCAGGGGCCGGCGACATGCTCTGCTGAGGCCTCGGTCCGGTCACTGTCCCTGTCCACTCCAGCCTGCCCTCAGGGGGAGTGCAGACCAGCCCCAGGCCAGGCCCCGTGCAGGCGACCCTCAGGTCTGTCCTGAGCTCCACGTGTCCATCACACACAGGGCAGGGGTCGCCGACCATGCCCACTCCGTTCACCCCTGTCACTCACCTACCTCACAGCCACATGTCCTACGTCGGGAGGGATGGCCCCCCGGACAAGCAGGGAGCTGCCCCCATTCCAGGCGTCAGCCAGGCAGCAGTGGGTTTTCACCCAGCCCTGGCCGTCCCCCTCCAGCCGGTGCTCCCCAAACAAGGGCTGCAGCTCCTGGGCGCCAGGGTGGTACCAAGGCCCCACGGCTGCCTCCTGCAGGAAGGGCAGAGTGGACAGCACGGTGAGTCGGCCGGAGGGGCAGGATGTGTGGAGGCCAGGCCTCCCGGTCCACACTGCTCGTCCTCCACCCCCCACGGACCCCAGGACCCCATGAGAGGCATCTCCCCAGCCACTCCCTGCCCACTGGCCAGGAAGTCACCACACACCTGTCCATAGCACACTCTCCGAGTTCCCAGGCCCAGGCAGAAAGACGTGACAAAGGGCAGCGAGCAGATGCTGTGAGTGGGGAGGTAGCGTTCCAGCAAGTTCCAGAACCTGCCGAGCAATGGGGGGGACAACCACTAGGTCGGGGGTCCACTGTGTCCCAGCGTCCCCCCAGCTCACGCCTCGTGCCTCACTGCAGTCCCCCCCAGAGCTGGCAGCGTCCCCACCACATACAGACCCAGGAGGCTGTCCTGGGGGCGTGGCCCGTGGGGACCTGGCCAGCTGTCTTTCCTGCTTGGCTGATCTCCAGGCCCATCCTCTCCTTGCCCTGAACCACACCCTCAGAGAGGGTCACAAGGAGCAAGTTCCAGAGCCATGGAAGTCCCTCCCTGTTCCTCCGGCCAGAGAAACGCACTTGTCTTGGTTCTGGAAGAAATCCTTCTTCTCCAAACACTCGTACACCCAGCCAGGGGCAAAGAGCGCCGCCGAGAAACCGAATTTCCGGATCAGCTGCAGAGACTGCAAGAGAGAAGTCAGGGCAGGACGTTCTGGGCCTCAGTAACGTGGGGCTCCCGGAGTGCAGTGTGGATGTCACAGGTGGGCAGCTGTACAGACCCGCCCATCCAGATACATCTGTTGCTGCCACAAGTTGCCATCAGCCCCCGACTCCAGCCATGCCCACGCCAGTCCTGTGCCATCCATCATTCCCACGCTGGTCCTGTGCTGTCCATCCATCCCCACTCCAGTCCTGTGCCATCCACCCATCCACCCATCCACCACCACACCAGTCCTGCACCATGAATCCCCACAGTGGGCTAGGGATTTAACTGCAGGGACCTGCAGGGTTTTCACTGGCTGATTTTAGGAACCAGACTGCCAGGCTTTTCTTCCACTGACAGGTGGGTGGCACACGCGTGTCAGGTGCCTTGGCCAGGAGTGGAACCTGTGTCTCCTGCCCGGGATGTGAAGATGCTACCACTGAGCCACGGTGGCCCCTCACCTGCACCCCTCTACCATCAGCAGCTGTCCAGTCCACTCCGACTCGGGCTGCTCTCTCGCGGCACCTGGGGTGGCTTAGCACCTCCAATCTTGTGCTAGACACCTGTGTATCAACCATCTGCACACCAGGGACTGAACCTGACGGCGGTGAGGTGAACCCATCTCTCGTTGCTGTTCTGTGCTGCAGTCAACTACGACTCACAGCGACCCTGTGAACGATGGCTCTGGACCATGGCCCACCTGTGCCAGCCTCAGTCACTGTGTCATTTCGTCCTCTCTCGCGCTGGCCTTCTACCCTTCCGAGCACGATGTCCTTCTCCAAACACCGGCCCCTCCTGACAACATGCCCCAAGCAGGTGGAGTTTCAACATTCTTGTGTCCAAGAGTAACCAGCTTTCACTTTCTCCAGGACAAACTCATTGTTGCCGGTGCCTCTGAGTCGAGTATGACTCACAGCAACTCTTTGCACCACAGATCCGAGCCCCGTCCTGTCCTTGCCGCCTTGTCATCGCTGACACATCCGAGCCCACTGCTGCGGTCACCGTGTTAATCCATCTCACGGACGGTCTCCCTCCTTTCTTTGATCCTACACCTTCCAGAGCATGAGGCCCCTTTCCAAGGAATAGCCTCTCCTAACATCTTGCCCAAAGGCTTTGTTCTTCATTCGTCCACAGTTCTGGACACTCACCCGGAGAGGGCGTGCCGCGGGCAGCGGGAGGAAGGGAGCGGAGGAGGGAAGGATCCTGGACACTACCTAGCCTCACATCCCTCCACGCCCCTCTCACTGTAGTGCCAGGATCACAGGTGAAGAGAATCGCCAGTTATCAGACTGATGATCACCTCAGTATTTCACGGATGACAGAGGGCCTCCCTCTGGCCCAGAATGGGCAGGACTGAGGCACAGTCCTGACACCAGGAGGTCAGGGCAGCACTGTCCTTCCTCACTGACAGACAGCATGACCGTCCCGCCAGGAAAGGCTCGCTACTCATTAAACTACAGCCCCAAAGCTGTGGCTGCTTCACCGTGGACCTTCACCCCCAAGAAGGGAAGGAAACGACCCCAGGGGCTCCCAAGCCTGAGGTCCCCAAACCCAAAATCCCCTGTGGCACAATGTTTGCACTCGACCCCGAAGGGGAAGGTTGGCCGTTGGAAGCCACCCATCTGTCCTGAGGAAGAAAGACCTAGCAATCTGCACACCAAGAAAACATGCAGAGCAGTTCTACCCTGTGACACACGTGGCCACCAGGGGAGGAATGCACCTGACAGCTACAGGTTTGAGGGTTTCTGGTCCCCCAAGCTTGTCCCAGCAGGTCGGAGGGCACCGTGGCTGCTAACTCAAAGTCAGAGACTTGAACCCACCACATGGAGAAAGACAAAGCCGTCTGCCTCCATAAACAAGGAAGCCTTCAAAGCCTAAGGGGCAGTTCTGCGTGGACATAAACGGTCACCACGAGTCAGAACCGACTGAGCAGCAGTGAGCGGTCCTTGGAAGCAGCGATGGCCCACAATGTGACCATGGGCTCTCACTGCGGGCAGTCCAGAGGGGCCGTGCTGGCTGGACAGGTGGGATGAGAGGCTGCACCGCCTGGGCACAGGGACGGGCTGGAAGTCAGCATCTATGTAGGACACACCTGCCTCAGACAACCCCCCAGGCACGCAGAGCCTCAGTTTCCCCACTCCGGGGTCAAGGCCCTTGGCTCTCTAGATGACAGGAAGGACAGGTCAGCGGGGGACCCAAATGCCACAGCCAGTTCTGCTCACCTTGTCAGTATCGAATCGGCCCCCAACGACAACGCTGCGTGCGAACACGTCCACCCCCACGTACACGTCGGCCCGGCGCTCCCCGGCCTGCGCCAGCGTCCGCTCCAAGTGCTCCTCCCGCCAGTTGTAGTTGGTGAAGAAGCCATCGCAGGCGTCGAAGAAGGCCCTGTGTGTGGCCAGGGCGGGGTGAGGGTGTGGGGGGCACCCCGCGTCCCCAGCTGTTCACCCCACCGGCGTCACCTTGGGGCTCACAGCTCAGCCTGTCCTCCGGTCTCTGCAGACACCTTTGCTTGCACAGGTGACTCCCAGGATGCCAGGACTCATCCCCACCTGCCTGTTCCTTTCCCCACGTGGGAACACCTCTGGGGGCTGGAGGTGCCCCTTCACTTGTCTGGTCCGCAGGACCGTCCGTATGAACCTCCGTGAGACTGGGCCGCTTCCCAGCACCCCCTCCCCTCCCTCATCTGGTCCCTGGGGCCCACCCACCCCCTGGGTGTAGTCCCTCCTGGCCCCACCCAGCCCCAGGACTCACCTGTTCTGTTCATTGAGCTCGTCCTGCCATTTGAGCTGTCCGCTGCGCAGCACGCTGTCATACCAGAGCACCAGGCCCCCCGGCACCGCCCGGTGCAGCTCCTCGGTCAGGTACTGGAGGAATAGGGGCATGTTCCCCACCGCGGCCACCTGCGGGGGACAGGACAGGACACTCACTCAGCACAGCCCAGGCGTGTCTTTGGCTCAGCTGGGCTCACACAGATCCAATGCAGAGCAGACAGCAAACCAGGAATAAACACCCACAAGGTCAGGCCTGGTCACTGGGGGTCCCAGACCCACAGAACTGGAGGAGGGCCAACTGGGAAAAGGGGGCACCCAGAAGAGGACACAGGAGACTTTCTGAGGCAGGCAGGATGCACCGAGGGGACAAAATGCAGTGGACAGAGCGTGGACAGCAGAGGCAGCCCCAGGCCCTGCAGAGCAGAGTGGAGCTGGAGCCTGAGGGAAGGGCGGGGGTTCAGCAGGTCGGGGTCTGCACACACGGGGAGCTCTGAGCCCCCGGGACTGCGTCACCGGGGGAGGGACAGCCTGGTCCGCGGTGGGGCAGACGGCGGCAGGGGCTGAGGGACAGGCCATGCTCACACTCAAGGAGTTCTCGATGTTGATAAGCCAGCCATCGAAGCGGAAAAACTGGGCGATTCGGACCAGCTGGTCGGCCACGGCTCGGAAGGAGCGCTCATCGCCGGCCAGGAAGGCCTCACAGAGCTTAGCACCCTCGCTCCACTCGGTGATGAAGGTCCCTGCAGGAGAGGCCAGCTCAGGGAAACGCCCCACCATCCTGTGGGGGCCCAGGGAGGACACTGACCAGGAGTGGGGGGCCCACTCCACCAGACATTCTGAACCACCCAGGTATCTATGAGCCAGACACTGGGGTGGGGGCCCCGAAATGGGAGCAATAGACTGTCCCAAGCATCTCAAGAGCACTGATGTCTGCACCCCAAAGCCAGTGTCCCCCACCTGACTGTGTAAACAGTCACTGAAACACCACCGGTGAGGTGATGCCCAGTCGAGGTGGCCCGTGTTAGAGCAGAGCTGGGCTCTGGGGGGCTCGGCGGGGCGACTCTTTGGAAACAGGCAGCCAGGCCTTCCTTCCCAGGTGCCTGTGGGTGGGTGGACTGGGTGTCCTGGAGGACACGGCCGCAGCATGCTTCACTGCCCCGGCTGTGTCTGCTTGCATGGTGATGACAGTAGAGGGCCCACTAGCTACAAAGCTAAATATGTTTCCTATCCGGCCCTTTCCAGAACAATCTACCAGCATCTGTTCTAACTGATCAAGGAGTGCCAGGCAAGGTGCCCTGTTCACCACACAGATGACATCTCCAGGTCCCCAGTGCCCCTCGTTCAGGCCTTACCCAGCACGCTGACCCCGTGCCTGTGGGCCGCGTTGGTCCAGCACACGGGGGGGATGGTGACCGTGTGGTGACTGAAGTACACGAAGATGTCTACACACTGCCAGTGGTAGAAGGAGTAAGGCTCCTGGGCCGCAGAGCCCTGGATGAACCTGGGAGGAGAGCAGAGTCAGGCCCACGGGCTCAGGACACTCCGAGGAGGGACGTTTCTGGGTCTCAGTAGCCACCCTTGCTCAGTGCTGGCCGGCACCCGAGGTCCTGATCCTGGGTTAGGGGAACAAGCCATGGGTTCTCAGAGACCAGGACACGAAGCACCATCGCCAGCGTGTGCTCCAGGGCCGAGCGCACAGTGTCTGAGAGCAGAGGAAAGGTGACAGGTGGAAGGGAGAGCGGAGGGGCTGGGAAGAGCCTGTCGCTGGGGGTCGTTCCGGGGGCCGGTCTCCCCACACGGCTGCCCCAGGATCCTGTCAGTGGCTAACTTCACACCTTCCCTCAGCCACCAGCCTCAAGGTTGTGCAAAGTTTCTCAGCTGCCCCATGGCCACTCCAGACAGAGTCTCTGACCAGGCATGGGAAGGACACCAGAGCCAACAGATGGAGCACAGGAGGGAGCTAAGAGGCGGCCAACACGGCAGCTTGAGGGGACAGTCTCGCGGGCTGTGGACACCACCCTGCTTGCTCACAAGGACCGAGAGCTCCCTCAGTAACGAGGTAAAGAGGCATCAGGGGCCACCAAGCCCAGCCCACACCCTCCGCACAGGACACCGAGGCCACGCTTCTGTCCGGCAAGCAGAGGCCCCGGGACCAGCGTCCTCTGACATCCCCCTGGGCTCGGTGAGTGAGGGCCAAGTCAGTCACCTGTCCTCCAGGTACCCGCCCATCATGTCATGGCACAGCAGGGTGCGGGGCCGCCGGCTGCTCAGAGGGGGCTGGCGGCACGCAGCAGGCTCCAGGGCCACATTGAAGCTGTCCTCTGCGCTGGGCGCCCAGGCCAGGAGCTCCTCCAGTGAAGACAGGTAGAAGCTGACCGGGGTGCTGGTGTCCGGGTCGTAATATCTAACTGGGCGGAGGAGGGAGGCACACAAGAGTCACAACGGCGGGGAAAGGCAGGGGGTACCCTGCCAGGAGACCCCTAGAACAGAATTGAGTGCTGACCCTTCTCACCTGGCAGAGGGCTCGGGGAGAAGCTGACGACTTCTCGGAACACGGCCTCCTCCTCGTCCATTCTAGGCAAAGAGGGAACTGACGTTTTAAAATTAAAAGGTAAAGAAAAAGAACACACATCTGCAAATGGACTAGGACCCACCCAGGCAGCATATCAAACCCACACCCACGGATGGCCCTCAGCGGGACCCGCGACCCTGGACCAAGCAGAAGGCCCCAGGTGTCCTCTACAACTGTAACCTCTACAGAAGCAGACTGACAGGGCTTTCTCCAGATCTGACGGCCAGCCTCCTGGTTGGTCCACTGCGCCACCAGGGCTGCCTGCAGGGGAAACATTTCCCCAGTGTACCGTCTACAACTCGACGGCATCAAACGACATTAACAATGACGACGACAGAGAGAGAGCTATGTTGACCTAGTGGAAGGAAGCTGTGCTACCAAGCCGAAGGTGGGTGATTTTCCTCTGTGGCCCTCGGCCAGGTTCAAATTGTTTTCCTGTCAAACATTCTCCTAGGTGGTATAGCACTGGTCTGTGCGTTGCTGTACAGAGGTAACTCGTGGTTGCTGTGATGCTGAACACGGAGACAGTGATGTGCCAAACATGGTGGGCACCCATGGTGGACAGTGTTGGGTGGAGCTTCCCGACTAAATCAAGCCTGGAAGCAGGAGCGGCATCCACTTCCGAAATGGCTTGTCTCCGGAAACTCTATGTACAAACAGTGCTCAGGTCGTTCGTTCATAGGGTCGCTATGAGTCATCTACGACTCAACGGCATCAAACAACATCTGGTTTACTACTCAATCAATGACAGACACCACATGGGTAGTTCAGGGCTAGAATCCGCTCCTTCCAAGTGAGAGACCAGGTTCAACTGCCAGCCAAGGCAACTGAGGAGAGTAGAGCTTGCATGCGGCTAGGAAGTGGCCAGGACCTGAACAGGTATCAGTGATGCTTCCAGACGAAGACAGACCAGGAAGAAAGGCCTGGAAATCTCCTTCCACAGGCAGCCAGCGAAAGCCCCGTGGGTCACAACAGTCCAGTCCCGATGTGGGTAAGTGCCTACTCCAGAGTAGCGCTGACAAGGGCTGCAGGGCAGGAGGAGGGGTGGGCAGAGGATGGTGGGAACGTGAAGGGGACAGAGCTGAGGCCTTTCCCCACCACGCTCCTCTTCCCAGCCCCTCCTCCCTGTCTTCCCTGAGCTCTAGGCCCCTCTCAGCTCTTCTTCATCACATCACTTTCCTCCAAACTCTTTGCTGTGGCTGCGACACTGCCTCATGGAGACCTCACGCTCCAGAGGGTTTTCCTGGCTGGCATCTTTGTGGAAGATTTACCAGGCCTTTCTTCCATGGTGCGGCTGGGTGGGTCCTCAAATCAACTTGAGTTTAGTGCTGTCGTTAGGTGCTGTCCAACCAGCTCTGACCCGTGGTGACCTCGTGCACAACAGAAGGAAACCCTGCCTGGTCCTGCACGGTCTTCAACGTCACTGCTGTGTGGGAGCCGGTGGTTACAGCCACCGCAGTGCCTTCTGCTGGTTCAGTGACTCTCTCTACCTTACGAAGCAGAGGCCCTTCTGCAGGAACTGGTCCTTCCTGTTAATGTGCCCTAAGTCTCAGTGTTCTGGCCTCTAAGAAACATAATGACTGTACTTCCTCCAAAACTGAGTACAAGTTATTCCCACCACCCAGCCCCTACCAGGAGGTAGAGACCATCCCAGCGTTCCTACCAGCCACCCCCGGCTCGCCTCCCTGTCCAGTCAGAAGAACCCTCAGAATCATTTCTTTGGCCTTAAAAGCACAGGCAGACAAGGATGGCAGACAGGGATGTTGTTCCAGAAGGCCCTGTCCGTGCTAACTTTCCCTGCAGCCCGGTGACCAGGAGTTTACTCCAAAAACACATACAAGTCTCGTTCTTAGTTCTGTTCTCCCCACTGCTTCTCCCTCCTTCCTCCATTCTCACTTTAAATATCACCCCCTCCAGAAATCAGCCTCATTTCAACCCGGTTCAAACATTAGTTCTCTTAATTACATGGTCAGCAAGCATTTAACAATTCCTAGGATCTGAGCAGAGGTCAGCAGCCCTAGGGGACAGGTGCTAATTAAGCCATTTCACAGACAAGGTAGGATCCAGTAAGTACACAGGTCCGAATCCTGGAAGGAAGGCGTCATTGACCCACTTCTCAGATGAAAGCTAGGGTCCCGCGCAGAGAAGGGCAGCCGGAGGGGACGGGTATTAATCATCAGATCAAAGCGGGCATCGGTCCGCAGATCAGCCTGGGGAGACAGGCTCGCTGACCCATTTCCCAGATGAGGAAGCTGAGGCTGGTGATCAGCCTGCAGGAAGCAGCGTGCGCCCCGGGCTCCCAGCGCGGCCACGTGGGTCAGCCTTCTGACAGGTCTGACCGGAGGTGGACCCCGACTTCAGTGCGAGGTCTGCACAGCCCCCACGACCAGGAGGGGCAGACAGGGGGTGACAGCGGCTGTCCTCGCGCTGTGGACGCTCCGATCCGGCAGCCCTCGCTCCTGCACCCCGCGGCGGAGGTCACCGGCCCGGGTCCACGAGTCCCACCCGGGGTCCCGGGGGTTCGGAGGGCAGCCCCGGGCCAGTTCGCTCACCTTGTCTCGGGCCGCGGACGGCGCCGCTTCGGAGCCCGCCCTGGCCGGCCCTCGGGGTCCTCGGGGTCCGCCTTCCGCTGGGTCCCCCCGCGCAGCCGCCGCTCGCCCCGCCTCGCAGCCCCCCGAGTCGCCGGGGCCTCCATTGCTGGGTCAACCAGGAGCAAAGGAGCCGTCCAATCGCAGGAAAGACCCCGCCCCTCCCCGGTCTCCAACCAATAGGAGCTGAGCAGCACGGCCGCCTCTCTCGGATTGGCTCAGCCCCACCTCTACTCGGCTCTGAGCCCGCAGCGCACAGCGAGGACTTTGTACCCACGGAGGCCCTGGGGGCGGAGTCTGGGGAGGGGCCTGGGGTGGGGCCAGTGGACTATGCGGTGGCGGGGGGCGGGACCTTGGCGGAGAACTGGACCCATAAGAGGCGTGAAGCCGCTGGCGGGGGCGTGGCCTTGGGCGAGGGGCGGAGCCTGCCCCTGCGGTTCCGGGAGGCTCTGTCCTGCAGGTTTCTAGTCTTTCTTGTCCAGAAAAGCTCATCAAGGTTCATCTCAGCGATTAGGCAATTTCCTCAGGGTGAAAAGGCCCCAACTCAGTCCACTCTCGTCTCCCAAAGTCATGTGTTGAAATTCTAACCCCTATAGTTGTGCACCCATTTCCTAAATAACATGAAACTCCATGAACTTTGATAAGTGTCCATAGTTGTAGAGGGACTTCAGGCCTTTTGTTCACAGGGTCACTATGAGTCGTGCTGGGCTCGAAGACAATCAACAATAACATCGTAGTTGTGAAGGTGACTCTACCTGGAAATAGAGATTTTCGTTTGTGATGACCTTGTACTGCCTCTCTAGAGAAAGCTGGTTCGAATCCACCATCCACTTCGTGGGAGAAAGATGTGATTTACAAACTCCGAAAGCCCGCTGGGAGCTATGAGTTAGTTCCCCCTCCACCACGATGAGTGAGTGAGTAGAATAAACAAGAGCTAACCCTGAACCCATCAGCGAATGAGTGCATAAAAAAACTATGGTCATTCACATAATGGAATATTATGCAGCACTGAAAAACAATGAACTCATCAAACATTACACATATTGGGGGGAACCTGACGATATTATGCCGAGTGAAATGTCCCAGTCACAAAATGACAAACACCACATAGCACCACTATTCCAAAAAAGGGCAGACGTGGAGAGATTGGGGCGAGAATGGGAAAAGAGTGGATAGATAATGACCATTGCAGTAGAACAGATGAGGGAAGAACTGTCCAAAAGGGGCACATGATCAGACATTATATGTATGACAATAATCTGGAACAGGGGTGCATTGTGGGGTGCGCTGGGGGAGAGGGAGGAGGGAAGAAAATCTGCAACAATGGGGGGAAATAGTTTTAAAAAGAGAGAGAGAGAGATCCTGGGGCAGACCATGTTGGTCCATAGCAGGTACAGCCAGGAACCCAAGGACTGCTGCAGCTGTTGGAAGTTGGGATAAATGGAGAAGACTCTCGCTCCAGAGTCAGACCCTGAAGTCTCGGGCTCCTGGATTGAGAGAATCACCTCATCTCTGTTCTCAGAGTGGCCTCCGTGTAGTATTCTGAGTGGTGATATAGCAGCTCTGGGTAATCAGGATGACCACTGCCTAAAAACCTGCAGTTCCAGCCCCCAGCCCCCAGGTGGGGAAAGATGAGGCTGTCTCCTTCCAACGATTTGCAGCCTTAGAAACCCACGCGCAGTGCTGTCCTGCCCTATCACCCTGGTTGTTGTTTGCCATCGAGTCAGAACTGACCCATAGCTGACTCTCCAGCAGGTTTTCAGAGACAATTAATCCCAAGGGAGGAGACTGTGCATCCTTTTCTTGTGGAGCAGCTGGTGGATTCGAACCATGTGCCTTTGGGATTGCAGCACAGCTTGTTACCTCTAGGCCACTAAAGCTCCCCTTTATAATATCTAGTAATTGGAATCAACTAGGTAAGAACAGGTTTGGTTAGGTCTAGGTTTAGGGAAATAAGACAATTAGGTCTAGGTTTAGGGAAATAAGACAATTTGTCTAGTCTCTATTAAAAAATAATTTCCTATTATTAAAAAAGATAAATATCAGTCTTCTCAGACAGATATAAATGTGAACAAGTGATAAAGATCTTAGTGGGCTGTGAGCCAGACAATGTCTTAACACACTTAGAAGATTAGAATGGCTACGTTTCCTAGGAGAGTGAGGATCGTTGAAGTTCAAGCAGACAAGACAATTTTTACGTTTATCCGTTTCCTCCCCCGCCCGGTATGGCCAGAACACAGAGAAAGACAAGGACCAGACCCTGGAGCTGGTGGTAGGGAGGCAGAGTGTCTCCTCAGATCGCACTCTCAGATCTGAGCACTGCGGCCACCACGCTGGCCCCAAGCTTAGAGGCGAGGGATGTGTCAGGATGAGATGGGGTGAGGGGTGGGGACCTCACGTCCTGGACCTGGAA